TCCTTGACTTTACCCGGTTTACCCACTCGGCCACCGTAGAGTTGTTAGTTACGAAGAAGTTCATCAGCTATATGAATTAAATATTGTATTCTTATTTGATTTTCTAATTTTCTTTAATTATAAAACTCAATATAGGTATGGTAAACACCCTATTTACTAATAATCAATAAATAATGAGTTTATAGCGTTCCCAAGAATGGAAGTGAGTGAATTTGTGTTTATTAATATGGAAAATGAAGATCGTTTTTTCTCCTAGGTGATTTGTAGAAATTGAGAATTTTTCAGCCTCCTAATTATTTCCCCCGTTTGACCGTTATCATAATTTGACCCTTATAAGAGTTTGACCCTCAAGGTCTCCTTTGAACCTTATATGGACCTTACGATGGTCTGACCCTTAGCATCTGTTTACGCGTTTTCCTGTACGATCCGTTCGACCCCTATGATCATTCGACCTTTTATAAAAGCCTCCAACCCTTATAAGTAGTTTTGTTTTTACCCCTATTTGACCCTTATGACCCTCGCGACCCTTGTGAATGTTTGGCCCGTTGGATTATTGCGCTCGGTTTCCCTCCTAGATANCACCTCCCACGGGTCAAAAAACACTTTATCGTCACTGAGGCCAGAAGTAGTACTTGCGGAGGCCATGTTCAGACGGGATAAATGACGTTTAGCAGGACGATACCGTAAAACGAGACCAGCCCGGGGACGAAAAGTCAAACGAGTCAAGATTTGGACAGTACTGGGATCCGAGCTGCCGAGTCTTGTGTGCCGATCCTCAGTCGGCCTTGGCCCAGCCTCGGCTAGCTATTGGTTTGATAACGTTGGGCCGATATTGGTTGCCAAGCATTGGTCGATGATCGGCACCAGTGACCCACCCAATACTTATTTTTAATAGTTGAAAAAATTAATTAATACATTATTTTTTTATAATTTAATTTATATGCCTCGGCTAATCCTTCCTAAAGAAACCGATAACTGCTGATAATGATGAGTGATAAGTTGGACTCACCGGGATTGAATCCTGGAACCTTCGGGTTGTTAGTCCTTGACTTTACCCGGTTTACCCACTCGGCCACCGTAGAGTTGTTAGTTACGAAGAAGTTCATCAGCTATATGAATTAAATATTGTATTCTTATTTGATTTTCTAATTTTCTTTAATTATAAAACTCAATATAGGTATGGTAAACACCCTATTTACTAATAATCAATAAATAATGAGTTTATAGCGTTCCCAAGAATGGAAGTGAGTGAATTTGTGTTTATTAATATGGAAAATGAAGATCGTTTTTTCTCCTAGGTGATTTGTAGAAATTGAGAATTTTTCAGCCTCCTAATTATTTCCCCCGTTTGACCGTTATCATAATTTGACCCTTATAAGAGTTTGACCCTCAAGGTCTCCTTTGAACCTTATATGGACCTTACGATGGTCTGACCCTTAGCATCTGTTTACGCGTTTTCCTGTACGATCCGTTCGACCCCTATGATCATTCGACCTTTTATAAAAGCCTCCAACCCTTATAAGTAGTTTTGTTTTTACCCCTATTTGACCCTTATGACCCTCGCGACCCTTGTGAATGTTTGGCCCGTTGGATTATTGCGCTCGGTTTCCCTCCTAGATAGTGACCTTAATGAAGGTTTGACTCTTGAGATCGGTTGACTTCTCTTTCCTGTTTGACCCTTATCAAGTCTCGGTGTCTGAAGTTTACCCAATTATTGGTCGAGACCCGGGATTCGACCAATGGCCATGTGACATGCCAATTTTAGGCCGAGGCTTGGCTCATTCAAGTATTGGTAATTCGGTCCCGGGCCTTTTTTTCTCAATATGGTGTTCTTCAATCAAGAACATCCGGGCTCACAAATTAACAGCATTTTTATTCTCGAATCGATAATGTTTTCAGTTTTTACATTAATCAATTCATATTTATGAATCCTTCGCTATCCAAACTAGGAATTGAGTCATCTAGGATGTTGGCTCAATTTACCCACTTTATCCTCCAAAAATCGACCAAGAAAGTACCTCAGACCTCTCCTTCCCCGCAATTACCCTCAATACGTCCAGAAAACGTTGAAAAATCTGGAGAAAATCAGTTCTCCCCTATTTCCATCTGTCATTTACCCTTTTACACGACAACCCAATCCACCGTCATGTCGCTGACACGAGTAACTTTGCTGGTGAATGCATAAACGATGTGACGAGGCAATAAATCTGGGATCAGAGTATATGGGCCCACACAAACTCTAGCTCAAATGTTGGTTTGTATGGGAAGTGAAACTAGCGGGTTAGATCTAGAGAGAGAACGAATTTAAACTACTTGGTACTCTGCGTTTATGCATCAGACAACAAAGCGTATGTGGGGATTGGCGAAGCGGGGATTGGTGAATCGGGCGTTTTTCCTGCAGACAGGACAAAAGACGAATGGGTGATGTATCGGCTTTCACTCGTTTTACTTCCTCCGCTCGAACGGGGAAAAAATAGATAACGTATGCAAGTAGGGTATTGCACTGGCGCATGTTGAGGTGTAGTTTTTTAGGCTGATTTGATGGTGATGGACTCTGGAATGGGTGTTGCTTGAATTTGTTGCGCAATTAGTTGCGTCTACGGATTTGTAGGTTCTATCCACAGATTCACATAAAAAACAAAAACAAAAATTCATTAACTGGATCTGAAATTCGATTTATGTTAAGGAATACGTGACACAACTCGGTGTTTGGTGTCTGTACCGCTCAACGGGTAATGCTGAACGGAAAAAAAAATTTTTCTTTCTTTATTATGCAAACATTTAATAACAAGTAATTTCAACAGAAATTTTCAATTTTCTCTCGTGGAAACATCGTTTAAAAAAATCCACATAATTTCCTCCTCAATTCTTAAAATATTTCGACCCCAGAATTTGAAAGTTTTCAAATTTTCAGTTCGCCCGTAATTGAATGGAGTGCGAAATATATGTTCGTTATACATTTCCACATCCATTGCGACCTTTTCGATAGCAGAAAAATATCTTCATCAGTTAGTATTGGCTATTTTATCAGCCTCCGCGCTTGTGGATAATCCGCCCCGAGTTTGTGGGATTGTGGGTAATGCTACTCAGGGTTTCTATAGGGCTGCTAGATTCTGCAGCTAGAGGGCGGTCAAGTGACAGCTCGATTGTATGGGGTAGTCGGTGGCCACTGGAACGAAGGGGCTATTCACAGGCGTAATCGTGGTGTCACTCGCTGATGTAATCAATTGTAATCCCAGTGAAATCGATGTAATCATTGTAATCACATGATTACCATATTTGTAATCAAGTTTTGGTAATCAAGTGGTAATCATTTGTAATCACTGCAATCATTTGTAATCAGTGTAATCTTCCCTATATTCTGTGTGAAGGAGTACGACAGAATTTTCTCCCAAAAAATTTGAACATGAATAAAATTTCAGAATTTCACGTAACCAAACCTCTATGTATATACAATTCAGTAGCGAAGCGGTAAACCGGGTTAAGTCGATTTTTATTTTTGACCAATTACGGATTAATATCTTGCAATCTAAGAGAGATAGCAGAATTTTTCTCATGACCTTTTTTATAATCCTTAATTGGCTCTACGAAAAAGGTCATCACAAAAATTTTTCTCTCTTTTAGATTCCGAGATATTCGTCAAAAACTGGCGAATAGTCAAAACGGACTTGACCCGGTTTACGGCTTCGCTACTGAATTAGTAATTATTAAAATTTATCGATGATGAGGAATTTTGATACGAAATATAAATGTGTATAAAAAATTTCTGTTGATATTTTCCCTAAATAAACCATCAATTAATAGAGATTCCACGTCTGACTAAATCGACTTTACTACTGAATTTTCGTGTTTCCATTGCATAAATAATTAATTGAACCCACACGACCCAAAAACCCAACGCGTTTTCCACCCCAACAACCCTATGAGTACAACTATTCCATGATTATTCACCATTTCATTTTTCCTTGATGCAGGAAATTGGAATATTGGAAAATACAATAAATTCAGTACAGAAGTCACGGAAGACTGAATACATTTCACCAAAATATATTCATGTGCATGATACACTAACCCGAATTCTCATGTCTTCAGTGTGGAATATACATAACCCAGCCATTTTCACTGCAAAATTTATTTTCAAGGCACCATCAGATTATTCAAATACCACGGAATTCTCTATATATTGAATATCTCAATATGACAGACAATCTATTCTACCTATAAGAAATACTCAATATGTTGGCTCTAAATTCTTTTCGCTCCTAGCAGCTTTATTTCTCGCGATAAACTCCACGCTGTGTGCGTCGTGGATTACATTTCTTTTCCTGGGAATTTTTTTATTGAGAACTTCAATTTCGTGAGATGTCTCAAATGACATCTTTAACTTGATAGGTTTAATTCTTTACGTTTAGGAGATCTACCTAGTGTAAATTTAGTATTGTGCGTGGAGAAAAAAATTCTGGTTTCAAGAAAAAAAAAATCTCAATCCTAGAAACCGTAGAACATGTAGTATTTTAAAAACTTGATTTTTCAAATGATTTTCAGAGACGAAATCTCTGGAATTAATTATGAAAATTCCGATCAATTCGAGTTTAAAGTTTCCTTAAGACTAAAAAGACTATGGTTTTAACATGCATTCTGCTGGATTCTAGAATCTTTTTCATAATTTCTAGCAGAAAAATAGTCTTGAAAAGATCATCAATTTTAATGAAGGTACGAATTCGTTTCATGGTAGAATAAGTAGTCCGAATTTTTCATCACAAGATATTTTATTGTTTTTTCACAATTGAAATTTCCTGAAAACTACCAAAAAATAGAAAAACATTTCAGAAAAACATTTCTGATCTAATCCAAAAATCAATGAAAATCAGAATGCAATCATTGGCCCTAGAAAATTTTTCCTAAAAACTAAAAACTATCTTTTTTTTTAAACTTCAGAAACTTTTTTGAATCAACAGTTTCTTGGTTTCGGTGGGAAAATAATTATTCAACGAAATTAATTATTCATTACAATATTTTTATTATTCAGTTTATTAGCGTCGCAATTCTTACATTGAATTCCACATTGCCTTTTTCGATACATGGAAATGCTGGAAATCACTTATTCAAAAGTTGTATAAGACGGCTGTATTAAAGTTGCACATTTGCAACGCCTGAACTAGGTCCTTTGCAGAACTGAAATTTTTCCCTGCAATAATAATTCGAGGATTCGAATGAAAATTATTTATGAAAATTTGATAACAAAATACTGTAAATAGTTTTACGGAAAAAATATTAAAATACACTGATAGAAAAAATTATTTTTATTAACATGTTTCTTTCTTGGAAAAAGTATTGTATACTTGAACCAATTTCAAATAAATAAGATCTTACAGTGAATATCAATTATTTTTTCTTGAGGTACATTTACTTGAATCAAATAAAACAGCCCTTGACGTCAAATCACATGGATTCACCACAAAAATGGAAAAGTTCAATTTTTTTAACCTACCATAATCTCCAGTCCCAAAATTTTCTATTTTCATGAATTGATCAAAAATTTGTACCTAGGAGATGATTACATTGAGGAATGAATTGAATGTTGTTTTCTCGAATGAAACCGATGTTTAAATTGAGCTTTCAATTAAAAAAGTTCTTTTGCACTTAGTCACTAAAATTGGTATTTATCGAGTTGTAATTTTTTCAAAATCACTCATCTGTTCCAACGTGAAAATTTTGATTCGTCACAAAATTTCGAAAAAAAAAATGTTTTTTTTCAATAAGAATTTTAGGTAAGCTTGGAGTATTTCTATATTATATCAAGTTTTCAGCAAAATCAAAAAGAAGTCGATTAAAACAGCATGGAACGCCCCCTTGATAAAAATAATTTTTTCTGTCAGTGTATCAACAAAGAGGTGGAAAATTGCTTCATCTAGTGTAGCTATTTTTTCTAACAAATTGGCAATATGCTTCCGAATTTTCATTTTGTACATCATTTCCTTCTATCGTACATCATTTATCGATTTATATTATCTTGTTCAACCGAATTATATTTCTTCTTTAATGAATTGTCTTATATTTCTTGTGAACACACAAAGAACGTTAAGTTTAATGTAATCCCAGGGTCTTTTGTTAAATTATATTTTTACGCTTTACCTTTTACACACTTCTTGAATTTCGCCACGACAGGAGGATTCTGATCCCGTACACTCGGGTCCATTATTTTTTCAAGTATATCTCTGAATAGCTTGACATTCACTCGACCCTGCGCCCCATCAAACTGTGAATGAGATTTGAAACTTGAAAGTGAATGAGAAAGAAACTTTGAGAACGTTTGAGAACTTTGTCGTTTTTCTCTGAGTGTAAGGTTAAAAGTTATAATTTGGCAGTCGTTCCTTCTCCAATTAAAGCGTTGAATTCAATCACATGAAGTGCATCGAGACTAGGTATTGAATTGATAATGCCAGCCTAGTTTTTAAGAGTTTCTCTTTGGCTTTACATTTTTTTCACCAAATAACTGTTAAATATTGTGATAAAAAGTGGAAAAATCTTGGGAATACGTGAGTTTTGGGCCATATCCGAATGCAAAAAATAATAAGTAATAATACTACAAGAGTTGAAAAATAATTAGTGAGTTTCGGATTGCTTCCCTACACTCTTGAAAATTTTCGTCTGAATTTCCCGTGCCAAATTCCCAAAAATTTTATCGTGTTCAACTTCCACTGAAATTTCAGGAAATATTTTCATTGAAAAATCAAATATTCAAATATGAGTACGCCTGCCTACGGCAGTCGTGACTAGACATATCGTTCGTCACATGGCCGAAAAAAAATTTTCTAGCTCATATGATTCATATTCGCTCATATCCGCCAGAAAAATTTCTTTCGGCCTAGTGACGAAAGATACTATTAGAGGATTATGAGCTACTTACAATTTTAGCAGTTTCCAATATGCATTCTTCTACAGCCGTTGTACTTTTTTGCGATACTAGATTAAAATTTTTACTATAAAATGTTTTTCAACAGTACACAAAAAAAATCAGTTGAAAATTACCCCTGGATTTTAGTAATCGGGTCATAGTAATTGGACGTTCGGAAATGTTCAGCAGAACTCTAGTGAAAAAGTAAATATCACTCGCAAGTAATTACACCTGGCGCTAATAATAATTATAATTATTATTTAATAATCATTATAATAATCATTTAATAATCATTATTAGAATAATAATAATTAAAATAATTATTAAAAAATAATCATTATTAAAATAATAGGGAACTTGCATAGAGTCCACTTTTCGAAAATTTTTAAATGAATAGAGTGTTTGTAGTCTATGAACCATTTCAGAGTAAAAAGTTTTCCGAAAGCTGGTCTGGATATTTTGTAATAATTGATTAAAAATGCATCAATTTTGGACACTTTTTAGGGGTCATGACGTCAACTCACCGGAATCAAGTTCCCCTTGCGACTACTAGCAGCGCCTACTAGCAACCAAAACAAATCGAGAGGGTTATGTTTGAAACAATTATTAAAAGTGGATAAAAAAAATATATTGGCACTAACAAATGAAGTTTGTGCTGAAAAATTATTTTGAAACGGCGTGCTCGGGGAATTTACCGACGGTAGACGTGACTGTGTTGATAGATTTTATGGGTTTAAATCTGTGTCAAAGTGTCGAAAGTCGTGCTTGTATAATTGTCCCTGTTGTATTTTTACATCCTGGTACAAAACAATATTTATAAGGAACTTTTTGGGTCCTACTGTGTGCGATTCTTCGATTTCAAAACGAGAAAAATATTATAAAATGTAGGAAAAAATTGGGTATCAGAAATTTGAAGGGTCTAAAGTGTTGCGAGACGTGTTTCTACAGCCATTGTCTATGAGCTAGCTTACACCTGTTTAATCTTAAACCTTTATAAGTCAGAGGGGAAAAAATAGACCAGGAAAAAAAGCCCACGCACCCAAAACATGCTAAAACAACCCAACTTGAAAATTTCTCTTGGTCTATTTTCTCCGGGATTCCTGGTGAGTCACCTATCTTTTTATGTAGGGGCTCATTTCGATGTACAGGCTTTATGTTGACCCACCTACGCCTTCCTTCTAAACGCAAAATTCATTTAATAATGAACAATTTAGAGCTATACCTTTGAAATTCAATTGTTTTCCAACACGAGCAGTGAGGTTTTAAGCCATTGCGGTGCCAAGATCACGAAATGTATAGGTGTGAAGAGAGAGGGGGGCGACTCAGTGTATCAGTGTACCATTAGGAATGCGCGGTGGCGTACGCACACCACTATAAAATGGCGAAAAGTGGGGAGACGCTTGGCACCGGAATGGGCTAATCTAATCTCACCAGCTCTTAGCGTAACCCACATGGAGAGAAAAATCTCTCGAAAATTAGTGTACCTTCTCACCAACGCATGGGACGTATCGAAGGGGGCACAAGAAAGTAGAGGGAGACATTGAAAAAGTGGTATCCCGTACTGAAACATTCATATGTGGCACCCTAATTTTTGTGAGTCGTGCACTAATTTTTCATGCGTTTTCCGTAGTTTCTCATGTGACTCTTCCGAAAAACTGGGTGAACAGCATTCTATTTTCTCATTGATGAGATACACTAATTTTTAAGGAAGGTTCTTTTTACTTTTTAATGTATTTTTCTCTCCGTGCAGGATTCATGACGTGGACGTAGCGGGCTTCGAATCCCATGGCTCTAATATATTTGTTGAAAAAAGAAAGAAAAAATTTGAGAACAAAAATAATTTGCAAAGTATAGTTGACTTTTATGCTTCCGAATTTTTGCAAAATACCAATACTCTACCCGATTACGAACCCGGGGGTTATCTTCAACACACAAAACGATGAATGTAAATTAATCCTCCGCTAATGTAGCCTATCTGGTTTAGAGTGGCTATTCTATATACTCTATAGAATATATGTATTTATAGATTTATATATATCGGGATAAAAATTGATGAAATTCAGTCAGTCAAATTACAATTTTCCTATCCATATAACAATAAAAATTATTGTAAATTGTGAAAATTTAGGGTATTCTTTCAATCTACCGGAAATTCAACCGAATGTAATGTTAAATTTTTACAATGAGTTTGAGAATTTAAGCTGTTCTTAAAATCACAATGATCGCCAAACGTGGAAAATTAAGTTTCAAGATGAACAAAAAATTCTATGATTGACTTGATCGCAACTTTAATTCAAATTCACAGCATTGAAAATTCAAATGCAGCTTCTACTCAAGTTTCAAAAGAATTCCCGGTAGTGCAGAATAGACTGAAGAAGAGTTCATTTACACTTATCGCTTTTCATCGCAGAGCAAAAAAGGTTTTGATTTTCAGGAATATGTCAGTGATGTTCAGGAATGTATTCCCAATTCTTTGGAATTCGTGACTGTGAAATTCAGTGAGTGCACAATTCTAACATTCTGTGATTTTGTCACCAATTTTCAGAGACATTATCACTATTATCTAATGACATCATCACTAATTGTCGGGCACTCATTTCTAATTTTCATCTATAATTTTTCGGAATCTCTCACCATATTTCAGTGATAAAAATCACCAATGATCAGGGTCATTTTGATCAGTGTCTAATAGCACCAATAATTGCTGACAGATTCATAAAAATCAGTGACATGGCCCCGAAAATAAAAACTTTTTTTCTCTGTGATAAGAACAGATTTCTGATATGCAATTTACTATTGGCATACTTTTTTTTCTACAAATATTCACGTATTTCCTGAATAAGTACTCTCTATTGTTGTCACAATTTGCCACATGGATGATTGTGAGAAGACCCAGGATTACAAAATGGACGAATTTCGCCATTTTATATGAACTTTCAGCTTTATTAAAAATTTGAAAAACACTTACAATGGCCGGTGTTGGGGCAACTCATCAATATTTATACCGACAGAAATATTTTCCTATGATTTCCGCATAAACTATCGCACTAACAATAAATGGAGTATTTTAGTGTTGCATGATAATATCTTGGCGTTGGAAAAATCTAAACTTCAGGAATTTCTTGACACGTGGAATACGATAGCATAAGAATATAAAGAAACTTGCAGACTTTTTCGCGATTGAGAACTTCGCTATCTTGATTTTCATTTTATTTCATTTTTTTCATTTTCTGTTTTTTGTTATTCATTCGAAAAACTAAAACGTTGCGGAATATTGTAAGACCTTCTCATTAAAATCGAATAAATTACCCAATTCACATTGAAAAATGACTAATATTGTAGTGACCCCTTATTATATCTCTCAGAAAAAATGAGAGAGACAGAAAAAGAAAACAGGTAAAAAATTGCTCTTATAGAGGGGTTATTCCCTAACGTTTTAGCCTCTAGGGCCAGAATTCAAGGAATTGAATGTTCGGGAAGCCCTTACTCTTCCGTTGGAGGCGGAGCTAGAAAAGAGATAAACAGAGAGAAAGAATCTACCTGTTTCACTCTCACACGCCGAGAGTAATTTTACTGCGCAGTCTCGTCGCGCAGAGGGACACAAAGATTTACCCAACACATGTACGTTGTCGATGGTGGAGGAAGTCAACTTCTCCGACTGAAATGTTAGGGAACCGAAATGTTGGGGAGTAAACACTGTATTTCCGAAAATTTTAAAAACTAACCGATAAATTAAATTTTAAGTAATCGCTATCGATAGGGCTCAACAATATCTGCATTTGAAAGAAAAAAATCAGTTCTGTCCATTCATTAACAACCAATTAAAGAAAAACTTTGTTGCATTGAGATAAATATCGTCACAATATCACAAAACTAATTTCTTGCGCCAAATATCTCACCTCCTGCATATCGAATGAATAGAGAGTTTATGCAGAGGAAAACCTCCAGATATTAAAAAAATATAACCGTCGCTTACGCTCAATCGCTTCGAGTTCGAAGGGAAGTCATATCTTCTTTTCCTTTTGTCAAACTATTCTTGTCTTTTAGGGAATACTATCTCATTTCGAAAAAAGACATCACCTTTTCATTCAGTAACTTCCTCTTTAGTCCGAAGAGCACCGATTTCTTGTCTGAAACCTACCATAAATTACACGGAGAGAAATATTTGATAAAAATTACGTATCTTTTCCATAATTCCGGAACGAAATGTGGTTGTAGAAAATTTTACAGAACTGTCACGAAATTTTTCTAGAGCATTCCGTAATATTTACTTCAATCTCCTGTGAAAAATTACGATACCGTCACTTAAATTTTCTGAGTTGCTTCCATAATCAGTGAGCGAATTGTGAGTTCCGTAATTTTTACTGAACTCTCCGTGAGATCAAATATGTATGCGATATTTCTCGAACAAGAAATGTTTTTTGTGATATGTCGATTTTTCAAGATAAGGTCTTAAAATTGCATTTTCGTACGTTTTGGATCATACTGAGTCAATATAACACAAAAAATCCAAAACTTAAATTCGATTACAAAGCTTCCACTCCGAAGCGAAAATCTTCTCTCTCTTTCCTCTCTCCCTTCCTTTTTTTAATATGTATATTGCGCTGTTTTTAGAGCATTGTAGATGTGTGCAATTGTCACCCCCTTTTTACCTAACAATTTCTCATCCCCATTAATTTTCTTAGAATGGTTGCATTAAAATTTAATCCATTGATTTTCCCATGAAATCCGGAATTTTCCACGACAAAATTCCTTGAAATTCTAGTGAAACTATAACATGATAAAAATTTCCAAAAATTATGGAGTCCGGGGAAAGATAAATCGAGAACGGAACGACTTGACGGAATTTAGTGGACCATAACATCACCGTTAAAAATGTCTCAAAATCCCCTATACTGTTGAAAAAATGCAGCTGAATTTTCCAGAAAAAGACCTGGAATGCGATTTAAGGAGAAAACGTCAATGAAATTTCAAGTTTTTCTGAAAATTCAAGTACAGTCCAATTTTTTCGCGGCAGGAATACGAAAATTCGACAATTTACATGAATCTTCAAGCGAAAATAAATATTCAGTGCCAAATTCCCTTAAATTGTCAGGGAATTCCTTTAAAAATCTTAGAATTCCTGAAATTTTTAAAAGAATTTCCTGAAAATGCAGAGGAATCTGGAATTTAAGAAGAGAGTTCTCGGAATTTTCCGGATTTTTCATTAATTCCCCCGGAATAATTAAATTGAAATTTACAGTCCCCACGGATTTTTATCTGAAATTATGATTTTTCAGCGACAAAATTCCTTGAAATTTCAGTGGAAATGTAAATTGTTAGAAAATTCCAAGACTCCTACCGGAAATTTCAGGGGAAGATTTTTAACAGTGTAACAGCGGTCCTCCTCAACCCCCCAAACCATAATCGCCTGCTAGAAAACCCAATAACAATATTTCAAAAATGTGAGAATGGTGCACATTGGAACATTATTCGCCATCATGGAAGAATTTGACATCGATAAGGATGGAATTGACACTGACTCCTTGGAGAACGAGGTGATAGTTCCATCGTCATTAATTCTTCGCATCAATCATCCCCAACAATTCTCATCACCACCAACCATAAATTTTATTGTTCCAGGCGATACAGACGACAAATGGCCCCAAGAAATTGGATCTCAACAGCACCGGACTCTACCGCATTCCAGAGAGCGCCCTGGCCTTCTCTGGAGCAGAAGAAATCCTCTTGGGAAGAAATATGTTAGCGTATGCGGAAAGCAATCTCGGAATTCTGAAACGGTAATTAGAACAAAAATGTCAACCACATCAACAAACAAAAACATCTAAATTAAATGGAAAAAAATTCTCGCAAATTTTGTTCTTTCCTTTTTCTGTGAATATCTCGGAAACTACCCGAGGACGAAAAGTTAAATGGGCCAAGATTTGGCAAGTACTGGGAGCCGAGCCGCCGAGTCTCGGGTGCCGATCCTCAATCGGCCTTGACCCAGCCTCGGGTAGCTATTGGTTTGATAACGTTGGAGCGATATTGGTTGCCAAGCGTCGGCCGATGATTGGCACCCGTGATCCACCCAATACTTATGTTTAGTAGTTGAAAAAATCAATGAATACATTATTTTTTTATAATTTAATTTACATTCTTCGGCTGATCGTTCCTAAAGAAGCCGATAACTGCTGATAATGATGAGCAGGCCTCGGATTTCGATTAAACTAAGATTGTCCGCGGAACCGTAGCGGAGTATTGTAGAATCTGAACCAAACTATCAGATTTTGAATGGTGTGAAGTTGGAAAATTGAGGTTGGGGGTTTACCACGTGGAGTTGATGTAGGAATATGGTATAAGAGGTACAAGAGGTAAGTTATAACTAGAAACTAAAATTATTATTCTTAACTTAATTAATATTTTTGTTAGTATTATTATTCTTAATAACCTGCTTGTGAATATTAGTGGTAAATAATCCGGATAAGTGGTGAACTTATCCGGAATGATTTCAGTCGGGCAGGTCACGAGGAACTTTTCAGCCAAAGGAGAAGAATTATCATCGGGTCTTTCAGCAATGAAAACGATCTTTGGACCGTTTATGGGAGTTTCGTGTATGGAAATCGAGGATGAGGAATGAAGTTTTATTGTTTTGGTAATTATCAGAGGTTTTTTGGAGAGATTAAATAATTTTCTGTTGCGAATTTCTGATATTTCCATGTTAATCAACTGATTATTTGATATAATTCCACATTCGATGGCTTAATTAACATGAAAACTGAAATTGAATTTTCTTGAAATAGGTTTTTAAATTCGAAATATGGGTCAGGGTTGGGTTAGGGTTGAGTCAAGGTTGAGTCAGGGTTGGGTCAAGGTTGGGTTCAGATTGGGTCCAGGTTCGGTCTGGGTTGGGTAAAGGCTGACCCAACCTGGACCCAACCCTAATCCAAGATGATCCCAGATTAGATCTAAACTTGGGACAGTGAAAGGTGTATGGTGTGTATGCTGTCCGCCTGACCCAACGTTGATCCAATTCTGACTCAACCTTGACTCAACCCTGACCCAACCTGGACCCAAACCTGATCCGACCTTGACCTAACGTTAATCCATCTCTAACCTAACCCTGATCCAATCCTGACCCAACCGTAACTCATATTTCGAATTTAAAAAACCATTTCAAGAAAATTAAATTTCAGTTTTCATGTTAATTAACCCATCAACTGCAGAATTATATCAAATAATCAGTTGATTATCATGGAAATATCAGAAATTCCCAACAGAAAATTGTTTAATTTCTCCAAAAAATCTCTGATAATTATACCAAAACAATAAAACTTTACTCCTTATCCTCGATTTCCATACACGAAACTCCCATAAACGGTCCAAAGATCATTTTCATGGCTGAAAGACCCGATGATAATTCTTCTCCTTTGGCTGAAAGGTTCCTCGTAACCTGCCGGACTGAAATTATTCCGGATAAGTTGACCACTTATCCGGATTATTTACCACTGATATCCACAAGCAGGTTATTAAGAATAATCATACTAATAAAAATAATAATTAAATTAAGAATAATAAATTGAGTTTCTAGTTATAACTTACCTCTTGTACCATATCCCCACATCAACTCTACGTGTTAAACCCCCAACCTCAATTTTCCAACTTCACACCATTCAAAATCTGACAGTTTGGTTCAGATTCCACAATATTCCGCTACGGTTCCGCGGACAATTTTAGTTGAATCGAAATCCGAGGCCTGATGATAAGTGAAAAATTGGACTCGTCGGGATTCGATCCTGGAACCTTCGTGTTCCTAGTCCTTGACTTTACCCACTCGACCACCGTAGAGTTGTTAGTTACGAAGAAGTTTATCGGCTATATGAATTAAAATATTGTATTCTTATTTGAATCTCTAATTTTCTTTAATTATGAAACTTAATATAAATATGGTAAATACCCTATTTACTAATACGAGATCGGCCGCGCGTGCCGTACACGCGCCTTCTCATTTCTTCACGTAGGGGCGCTTCGGTTTCAATCTTACGCTTACGCTTATTCGAGATTTTCGAGATCGATTTCCTTTCTCCTTTTTAAGATAGGAATCAATGAATAATGAGTTTACAACGTTCCCAAGAATGGAACTGAGTGAATTTGTGTTTATCACTATGGAAAATGAAGATCTTTTTTTTCTCCTAGGTGATTTGTAGAAGTTGAGAATTTTTCAACCTCCTAATTATTTCCCCCGTTTGACCGTTATCATAATTTGATTCTTATAAGTGTTTGACCCTTAAGGTCTCCAGTTTGAACCTTATATGGATCTTATGGTCGTGTGACCCTTAGCATCTGTTTACGCGTTTTCCTGTATGATCCGTTCGACCCCTATGATCATTCGACCTTTTATAAAAGCCTCCAACCCTTACAAGTAGTCCTGCTATTACCCCTATTTGACCCTTATGACCCTCGTGACCCTTGTATTTGGCCCGTTGGATTATAGCGCTTGGTTTCCCTGCTAGACAGTGACCCTATGAGGGTTTGATCCTTGGCATCAGTTGACTTGTCTTTCCTATTTGACCCTTATCAAATCTCGGCGTCCGAAGTGTACCCAATTAGTGGTCGAGACTTGGGACTCGATCACTGTTTGGTGATCGCTGTTTGACGTTCAGTCGACATTTGATCGTGGAAGGATCCGGAAGCCGATATTTGGTCGTCAGTGAGTCGCCAAGACTTGACATGCCAAATCTAGACCGAGGTCTAGCTGATTCAATAGCATCGGCCATTCGACCCCGGGTAGAAGAGATATTCAAATAAATCAAGTTTTATGGCAAAGCCAAGAAAATTTCCGATTTCATCCACAGGTTATGAACCCATTTTACCCCATTACTTTTTGACTTATCGTAAGAACTATTTTTTCCCCTCTAAAACTTCATTTTTTTATGTTTCTCGATCTACCAGGACAAAATGGGTTCATGACCAGTGGTTGAAATCGGAAATGTTCCCAGACTTCCACTGAGATTACGCCCAACTTCATCCCTTTCCTCCTTCCTCCAATAACCCCCGACAAACGAAAAACTAGAAAAATTGTCACTTACTGAAAATGAGAATTTAATTGAAAAAAAATCTCTTCATCTCGCTCAAGATTTCCCCGACTGCGAGGGCTTCAACTAGACCGAAACAATCTGAAAGCCATCCCTAGAGAGCTACTCGATCTCAACAGACTCACCTCACTGGACCTCTCTGACAACAAAGTCGAGGAAGTAACAGGAGAGATCCATCGACTAGTCAAGTAAGTACAGTCCACCAGTTTCTGAAACAAATTACGTGAAGTTTTTGGGGGAAACGAGAAAAGGGGCGGTGGAATGGATGGAGTGGACCACTCGTTTCGAATCCTCCGGACAGGTTGCAATCGTCGTACCTAGCATTAAAAGTTTGAACACTCAATTTTCGTACATTCGAAAGTTTAACGTTTGGGTTTCAAAGTTGGAGTCTCTGTTCGACAGACGAAGTAATGAGAATTGGGGATGATATTTTGGGAGTATAATTTGTTGGTATCAGTTGCATTTTTATGGGTTGAAGACAATATTGAGAATTTTTTCAAGGCTTAAGAAATTAATACTAATTCTCTTGATTCTCTCCGAATATGATGGTAATCGCACCATTCGCTGTTGAGTTAGACCATATTGTTTACACTGATGGAAAAAATTATTTTATTGCGATGTTTCTTTCTTGGAACAAGTATTATATACTTGAACCAATTTCAAATAAATAAGATCCTACGGTGAATATCAATTATTTCTCCTTGAGATACGTATACTTGAACTGAATAAAACAGTCCTTGGCGTCAAGTCACGTGGATTCACCACAAAAATGAAAAAGTTCCAATTTTTTCAACTTAATATAATCTCCAGTCGAGCAATTTTCTACTTTCATGAATTGATCAAAAATTCGTACCTAGGAGATGATTACATTGAGGAATGAATCGAATGTTGTTTTCTCGAATGAAGCCGATGTTTAAATAGAGCTTTCCGTACATCACATTGAACGAAATTTGTGATATCTAAGTTTGTGTTGAATTGCCGTAATCTGTGATTCTGTTATTGTAAACTAATGCGATTTTTATAGTCAAGAAAGATAAACTTCTTTCAACTCAACGACATCTTACTACAATCTCAGCTTTTTCCGCGTAACAATATTCATCCTGATTCGACATACGAAATGCTCACTTCAATTATAATTTACTTGGAAGAACGTATGATTGTGTTGATTGAGTTAACAATGTATTTAGTCATGAGAATAATTTTGATTTTTGAGTAAACCAACGAATTTCTGGAGGTGGCAAACTTTTGGCTAGAAAGAAATCAAATACTCTCATTATTGTGACAAATAAAAGAAACTTCAATTCTAGAGAAGTTCGATTTCTCCCAATCAAATGTATCTCAAGAAGAGATAACTGGTATTCACTATGAAGTCATGGTTATTTGAAAATTAACAGCCAAATGATGGTTAGTTCAAAGAAAATTCTCTTGATGAAATTAATTTTTCTGTCAGTGTATACAATTTTATTCAAAAATCTTTTTTTTATTTTTTTAAAATTAGTTTCAATGTCTTCTTAATCAAGTGAAAAGATAACAATAATAGCATCATTACTTACTGTTACTTTTGGCTCAAGCAAGACTTGTTTGAGAACTCGTCGTTTTTCTCTCAGTGAACTACTTAAAAAAGGATGTCGATCAAAAACTAAATCTCGAATGATAATTTCACGGATCAATTCCTCCTAACTTCACCCATAGAACTCACGATAAAATACACACATAATATATAACTGTCAAATCCGCCTCAGACGTGAAAACGTAATCTCCCGGCCCACTCGTTTTTCATCTCCCCCCTCCGCCCCTTCACCCGACTATTTTACTCACTCGAAAATTTCATGTATCGCCCAGGGCGATCTTCGATAAGCACATTTTCTCGTCGACAATGCTGCCAGTGGAAAGAGAACGGCGAAAAAAATTGCGAGGAGAGTGAACAGAGAGAAAAAGAATGAAACCGCGGGGAAAAAAATGAAAAGAGGGAGGAAAGAGTGAGAAAGTTTCGCCGTATCCCTGCGGATAGTTATTCTCGTTTTCAACTTCAAGACCAACTTCCAATGTGTATATCTTTCACCACTTCAATTTCGATTTTCTCGTGACAAACATGAAGTTGTGGATGAGTCGTGGATAAGATGAGGGTGACTGATTTTTTTTTAAATAGAAAAACTTGGTAAATTATGAGAATGCAATAAATTAAGTCATTCAGATGTTTTCCGGAAATCCATAGGGACTAACTTTTGGGCGGCGAAGGATTTCTGAAATGCTAAGTTCATTTATTCATGATCTATTGCATTGCGAATAAAGTAAAACGGGTGCTTAACTTTATTCTTTGGAGTGTAACGAATATTTTGAAAAAAGAAAAGCTAAAATCGTATGAAAATTACGGTGCAAGAAGCATTTTGAAGGTAAAAACTGCGAAAAATAAAATTTTTCGTGGTTATACCCGAGTCGAATAATTGGACCTGACAAATTCTACTTAGGTCTTTCCGTTCAGAACTGGATAGATCTTGGGAAGCCTATTCCCAAGTGCTTCCGAGACCTTTCTACCTCTGGTTATGTCCCATTTCAGTACTGGTTAGGTGTAAGCAAGACTTGCATTCAGACTTTCCAAATCCTTGCCGGTCCCCGTAATTCTATGGGCCTATATTAAATCTGCGTTCATATCCCTGTTTACTCATGGGTTATTGAAATAAAAAATGCAGTTATTGTTTTTTGTTAATCTCGAAAATCGACATTTCACGGGAGGGTGGAGGGGAGATGCATGTATGCGGAGGCTTGACATTTTTACCCAACNTCCCGAGTCGAATAATTGGACCTGACAAATTCTACTTAGGTCTCTCCGTTCAGAACTGGATAGGTCTTGGGAAGCCTCTTCCCAAGTGCTTCCGAGACCTTTCTACCTCTGGTTATGTCCCACTTCAGCACTTGTTAGGTGTAAGCAGGACTTGCATTCAGACTTTCCAAATCCTTGCCGGTCCCCGTAATTCTATGGGCCTATATTAAATCTGCGTTCATATCCCTGTTTACTCATGGGTTATTGAAATAAAAAATGCAGTTATTGTTTTTTGTTTAATCTCGAAAATCGACATTTCACGGGAGGGTGGAGGGGAGATGCATGTATGCGGAGGCTTGACATTTTTATCCAACAAGCGGAGAAGGTTGCAGAATCTATTCTAGCCACTCTTGCCCCGCCGCTTGCATGCATTGTGCAAATAAAAAATGAAAGTGTTAACAAATCTGACCCTTGTTCCAACTAAAAACCGAAAATCTGACCCTGTGGCCCCCGGTGAAATTTTTTTTCTTTCAGTTTTCACTTTTTCCACATACTTTTGATAGTTCTGAATAGCCCGTCGCTTAAATAGTTGGAATCAACGTTCACCCGGCTA